ACCCAGCAGACTCGATTCTGTATTTACAACAACTCACTCGGTGAAGTCCGGTCCGCCGAAGGTAAACGATACCTATAGGGGTTGACACAAGGACACACGCCAAGTCCAAGCGATCCTCCCGGCCCCCGGTTCACATCCTGTGCTCCGAGGACTACCGGATTGCAGCGGATATCTCTGGTACTCCGAACCGATTCGGTCCGGCATAGTGCGCTATACACCTGGACGATCAAGGCGTTCACCCGCCTCGCCTCATTATCGTTTAGATGATATGTGATTGGTAAGATAGAAGCCACGTTGCTTGATCAGTACACCATCAGACTCGCCCGACTACCTCGGCTCTGACTTAATTTAAGAATGAAGATGCACTCAACCTTTAAACTCCTCGTGTTCTAAAACTAATTCGCAATAGATGCAAGTTTGGCACTGATCACTTGGGCTACCTGGCGTACACATACCCTCAAGTCTCATTTTGACCGTCACCGGCCTCTCCTGCATTCCGCCACGTCGAATATGTTATTGGTTTCGTGTTTGCGCTGCATCAGGAGAGCATACTAATGATCCTGTCGTGTTTTGTGGGTTGTTCTCGCGACAGACGAGTCCAATTGTCTCTACTCGCGCATCTGTGAACGCCGTTGGGTTCCTGGTATCATAGAATGGTTTGCGGAATACGTGCAACCTGCTTTCATTACTGCTGCACCAATTCAAATCATCTACTTCCAGTGTACAAGCTTTTAGCTTTGTTTACTACGTTAGCAGACACCAGGCAGTAAATCCATGCTGTGTGCATACTTGGAATGCTTTGACGTGTATGTATGTGGGTGTATGGTGTGTGTGGGGTGGGGGTTCTGTTGTAGCATCATCCTTACTACATCTGGCTAGCAGATGCAGACCGCTTGGGGTCGTACCACGTAGTCAACCCTAAACACCAGCTTATGAGCCTAGTTCTGCATAGTGTTGTAGTGTCTTGCTTCCGACAGAAGATGATGTAACGCGGCCAATATGAAACAGGAACCGTAGTTACGGTAGATGGTTTGATGTTTATTGCAGCGGGGCTGACGTAACGTACCGTCAGAGGAAGCGTAATCGGCTCACAGAGTCTGCGCTTAAGATAGTTCGCTCTAATATCTGAGTGTACGAGTCCGTACACCTTACGGACTCCAAGAGTCAACTCTAGTCTCTTCAGTATAAATCTCAAACAGATGTTTTTCTCTTTATCGCGGCTAAGCTGCTGTACGGTGTATATATATATCGTTCACTATCTAGCATAACGAACCTTAGTCAAATGCGCTTCGTAACCCTTCGGGTACTCTAGGGTAACAGCTCTCGCAACAATAACATCCGCAGCGAATAGTTGGCTTCATTTATGTACAGAACAAATCAAGCGGAGCCCCGCGAGCGGGGCTCTTGACGAAAGTTGAAGCCAAGCCCCGCCTCGCTTGATCGGCGTGTGGTCCACACACGGTCTTGTAATATGGAGGGCTCACGCAGTCCACGTGACTTGCCCAATACAAATCGTAAGTGAAAACGTGACATTATGCAGCCAGCGCTTTAAAAAAGCGGGCACGGTGCTCCATAGTTCAGGGATCGTACTTAGTCGCTAAGGGGGCCAGAAATGTATACTAAGTAGTAACTCTGACGAAGTTTTCACATAAGCACGAAGCATATGATACACAAGTGGACTGATAATCACTAAGTGGCGTTTGTAGGACAAGTGAACGCAGTGAACTCAATAAATGCAATATAACCCTTGTGAATGCAATAACACCATCGAAATGAAAACTAGCCAATAATAAATGAAAAACAGACTTTTTGACCATAAATGGAAAGTAGCCGCTAAAAAAAAGAAGAAAAAAAACGCGCCCCCTGTACCAGTTTCTGGAAACGAGCACGTTGTTTTCAGTGATCCAGAGGCAACTGTCGTGCCATAGCTTGGCGTCGGATAAAGGACTGTGTCCCCATAGTACAAAAAGTGGCACGGTCGCACCGCAAACGTAGGTGGCCTCGCCCAAGCGACATCTTAGGTTGAATTGGGCACTATCGTCGCATTGGCTGCAGAACCCTCCTCGGTACTCATGCTGTCTGCTAATGAGTTTGAAAAAGTTTCACATCGAATGTATCCAGTACTTCTAGGTATATCATCTCCAAATAACGTATCTATCTCATGAAAGCCGATCGAACTCAGCGCATTATTTTTTTTACTGTTGAGTGTACCGCACCAAACACAGTCGTTTTTTTGTGGCGGTAGGTGGACGAGCTTACGCCATGTTTGTTTGTTTTTTAAAGTAAAATGAATATAACACTGAACGAATTATCCGCCCACAAAAAGCATTTGAAACGCGCCTATTTTGATTTTTGAACTCGCGTTGAAACGCGCCTATTTTGATTTTTGAACTCGTGACTTCAGTTTTCAATCGTGGTTCCACCTGTCTAGGAGAGAGGTCAGTGCAGTGCAGATTCGTTTCCATCAATGCTTTTGACTTTGACGGACATGGCTACGCTACGAGATGTGTGGAGTAGGTTCCTTTCATTATATTAATGGGATGCAGCAATAAGCCCCACTACTGGCTTTCATTCCTCAACTTACGCAGTCGAGCGCACCTTCACCTCCCCCGGCAGCTTCAAATCGAGATGGCCAAGACCAAGAACACTTTGTTCGCGAACGTCAAGGCTCAAGAGGAGCGAAAGCTCGTCGACAAACTCCGTGACATCGGCCTGGGCCAGTACATTGAGTTGCCTCAAATCGCCGTCATGGGCGACACCTCCAGCGGGAAATCCTCGCTGCTGTCGGCGCTGTCGGGCGTTTCCTTCCCGTCCTCCGACCAGCTCACGACGAGGTGCCCCACGCAACTCGTTCTCACTCGCGCCGACGCTTTTCGGGGCACCGTTCGGCTGGTTCGCTTCCAGTCTGGAAGCTCCGGTGACAACGATGACGGGGAGGAAAAGGCTGACCTGCAACGCCTGGAAGACGTCCCCGACGCCATCACCAAGCTCACCCAGAAGCTGGTGGACGAAGGCCAGTACATCAGCGACGACCAGATCGTGATCGAGATGTGCGGGCCCGACCTACCGAACCTCACGCTCACGGATCTGCCGGGTCTGGTGCGCACGGTTGGCGACCACGAGGACCAGAGTATCATCCCGAGGGTGCGGCAGATGGTGGACCGGTACATGCAGCAGGAGCGCACCGTGATCATCGCGGTGGTGCCGGCCAACGTGGACATGCACAACACGGAGATCTTGCAGGCGGCGCAAGAGGCGGACCCGAACGGGACGAGGACCATCGCCGTGGTGACCAAGGTGGATCTGGTGGACACTGGCGCCGAGCTGGCGGTGCACGAGCTGCTGCTGAACAAGAAGAAGCGCATGCACCTGGGCTACCACGCAGTCAAGTGTCGGAGCCAGCGCGAGTTGACCAAGGGCACGAGCATCGAGAAGGGCGTGGCGAACGAGTTGGCGTTCTTCGGTCAGCACGAGTACTGGCGCAAGCTGCCGACGCATCTGTGGGGGGTTCCGAGGCTGAGTGAGCGGTTGGTGTCGATCTTGCAAGACAACATTCGTCGCTCGTTGCCGGAGGTCATCGCGGAGATCAGTGCGTTGATGGCTGAGACGCAGAAGACGTTGTCGAGTCTGGGCACGCCGTTGGAGTCTCCGGTGGCGCAGCGTCAGCAGTTTGGCAAGTGGGCCGACCAGTACTTGCGTTTGATGGAGGCCGCCATGTCGGGGCACTACGAACTCCTCCCTTCATCGTGTTCTACCTCAGAGCAAGACGGAGTGGTGGATCGATCCCAATGTGATATAGACGTTCGACTTCGTGCGGTGCTTCGAGTGGATGAAGCTCAATTTCAAACAGCAGTGGGTGATTCGAAGGATGATGCCATTGGAGGTGGCCCGAAGAAAACACAAGAGCAAGTCGCTGCTGGGGATGCTGTGCAAGTTAAAGTCGGCAATCAGTGGCGATGCGGACGCGTGGCTGGAGTCGACGGAACTAGTATCTGGAGTGCTGAAATTGACACGTTCTGGAAGTCCAAGGATCAATGGCGCTTTGATGAACTTGCACCGCTCAAACGGTTTATCCGAGAGAATCGAGGCGATGAGCTGGCCATTTTCCCGTCGTACCAGGTATTCTGCAACCTGTTTCGGAAGTGCGTGGACAAATGGGTCACGCCGACGCAGCAACTCGTGACGGCGTACCAGGATCAGACGAAATTGGTCTCGGACCACGTGGCTGGCGAGCTTCGGGCTACTTCACGAGTGGTGAATTTCATCAAAACTGCGGCTGCTGGCGTACTTGAGCGTGTGGTCGAGGCAGCTAGACAAGAAGTGAGCAGCCTGTTGCGAGCTGAAGCTCGACCGTACACCCAAGACGAACGTATTTTCGCGGAGCTGGACCAGCAGCGCCTGCAAGTTCTTCAGGATCAAGTGAAAGCCGCTGCCCCAGTTGACCAGTATGGTAAAGTTGTGCTCGCAGAGGTACTGAATGCCGTCGAAGCCGTTGCACTCGCGACAGAAGATCGTGAGGCGCTGGAGATGCACGTGGCGTTGCAGGCGTACTTGGACGTGGCGATGCCGCGCTTCGTGGACGCGATCCCGATGCGGTTGAACGACTTGGTGCTGCGCAAGTTTGTTGCGGAGATGACGAACGAGCTTAACAGCTTGACGGACGAGAAGCTTGCGCGCCTGATGCAGGACCCGGAGCACAAAATCACCGAGCGGAACCAACTCAAGGAGGAACTGGCCTGCCTGGCCAACGCCAAGAAGGAGATCGTGCTGGTTTGTTGAGCGGTGACCGGACACCAGATTGCAAGCCCAGCAAAACAAAGCAAAAACTACATGTAGGGAGTGCGAGACCAGGCTAATAGCTTTGGAATAACCAGCCTGCCAAATCGACGTCCAGTATACTTTTGTCTTACAAGTTACTGACGTGTTTTTCTCAACCAAACAGATACATTTACATGCCCTTGATGAAACGCCATACCGTCATACACAGTGTGGTGGGATGGTCAAATGGTAACGAGTGAGTTCCGTGCAATCCTCAGCGTAACGTGGATCAAAGCGTGGCAGATCTATTGAGATAGGAATTGAGTAAATGAAAAGTATGCAAGCTTTCGTCCGGGCGTGAGCCGCTTCGCCGTCGTTCCAGACGCCAATGCTCTTTAAGGCGCTCTTACGCTATCGCCGCGACTGCTGCCAACATGCACCATATCGCCGCTGCCGCACTCACCATTGTTGCCAATGCGCTGTTGGAGTCTTCGGTCGAAGCAGTGGTTGGCTCGGGGGTTTCAGTCGGCTCGTCGTTCGTCGAACCTGTCGTCGAGCCCGTCGTCGCTGTGGAGGGGGCGTTGTAGGCGCTGAAGGCCATTTTACCCATGTACTTAAGTACTCTCCGTTCATGGCGCTCACCTCCAAGGTCAACGTCGAGGTCGTCTTGCCATCCGCGATGTAGCGGCTGTTGTACTCGTTCTGAAGGAGAATGTGCCTGTCACTTCGTCTTCGAACGCAATGGTCGAGCCGTCTGCACGGTATGCGAGCACTTGGTAGTCCACGTTGCAGGAGTTGTCGTAGAATGGGGACTGGAGCGCGTAGGGATCGGAGCCGAAGGTGTCAGCAGCGAACTTCCTGTAGCCCAACACGGGCCATTAGGAGGTTGCTCGAAGATCCATGCATCGATGTTGAAGCTTTTTGAGCACTGGGTGCTCTCAGGGCAGATCATCCCTTGGGCCTCGACGTCGAAGTCGATCCGCGAAGGGGTCGAGCAGGCGAGTAGTACGTGGTCGTGACGTAGCGACGAGTCTCCTGAATCTCGGCGCCGACCAAATAGAACTTCTGTTTGTCAGCGCGCGAGTGCGAGCTGACATCGGCGGCTTTCGTTCGAGAAGCTGTTAGAAGCGTACGAGATGAGACCGTTCCGGTGACGGACCATTTTTTTCACCCCCTTGTCTCCTTGAGCGATACACAAGTCCGAATCAGCGGTGAAGGCAAGTACTTGGCTCTCCGTGGCGCAGTTATCGTCGGAAAACTTCTGCTCGATCACTTTGCAGGAGCCCGTAAGGACGTCCTCCGCGTGGGAGGTGAAATTATTTGTGCACGATGTTGTGCCGTAGCCCATGTCGCTAAAGGCAGAGTTGGCAGCGCATGTCGGCGAGGGCTCGCAGTTCGTCGATGGGGTGAAAATGGTGCGGGAAGGCGACGAGCTGTCTCCGCAGTCGTCCTTCTCGTACAGATCGACCACTTGATACGTCGTTGCCGTAGCCGTCCCCAACAGGAACCCTATAACCACGCTTCGTGTGACGACCTTGACCATTATGTTGAAGTGCTCGCTTGGCAGTGAACTGCAGAATGGTTGGGCACAGGTGGCTTCACAAGACGTGGCTTATTCAGAGGGCGATCAACGCTGTGGGCTGCATTCGCATGCGGACGAGAATTGAAACGGGGTTTCCACTGGGCTGAAGACGTGACTGGCATCAATAATGCCAGTCCAACTCGGACTGTCCGAGCTTAGCTCTCATGGAAACTGCGAAACCTGCGTCGACGAAGGGATACGGACAAAGTTTTATTCACCCCGTCAGCTTTACGAGCTGCTCATTCGTTATGGTTTTCTGCCGGAGTGAAACGCGTCAACGCAGCAACTTTCTACATGCTCTGATAACTTTAAGCTTTTGGGGGACGAAGTCCCCCCTATAATCATGAGACTCCGTTTTATGGAGTTTTTACGTCTCTTATATACACTCCGCTTTACTTTTTACTTTAATTCTGCGAATGGGTTAGGGTCACAATTTAGAATCGCTCACACGGGGACCAAATAATGAAAAAAATACCTCGGTTAAACAACATTTGGATGCTTATCAGAAGGTGGTATCGACACGGATTTTTTTGAGCTGAACCGACGTCACTATCTTTAGATGCCATAAAACAGAGGGTCGAAGTTATGAAACAGCAAATTCGATCGTTAGTATGGAGGACATCAGAAATAGACTTAAACGTGACATTTTACCCTTATTTGGACCCGCTTAGGACCCTTTATTAAGCCTATTTGCCTTTCAAACCTTATGTTGTCGTAAGAAGCTGCGGCCGTTGGTAAGAAGTCTGCGGCCCTTCGGGATCGCTTGACCAGCGCACAACAGAGAGTCCAAGCATCAACATACAGAGCCTCAAGGAAGCGCCAACGCTACGCCAAGTAGCAAGCAGCTTTGCATGCTGAGGACCGGGTACTGTCGAGCAGCAACTTCTCTAATTTCCAGCGATGTCGCGTTGGGGAAATGATCGTTCTCATTTTTGCTGCACACGGGGGGCGTGGCGTGGCGGGTTAGCTGCGAGGAGACGAATTCGAAAGTAGGCGTCCTCGTTGAGCGCCCACCGATCTCCCGCGGGTGTTCTATCTTTACTAACTGCGACATTGGGAATCTATGCTTTCCTCGCCAACTTATCTAGCTAATCTAGTCAGCTGGCTCTGCAACCTCCAAATTACATTGAAGGCTGTGCGCGGATGACGAGCTGGACGATGAGCTGGGATGTACGAGCCGGAGTCCGTGTCGGTGCTTCTTGGTAGCAACAATGGCTCTCTTTTGGCTCGTTCGAGCTCGCCTGCTACTTCGCTTTAAAGAAATCAGACAGCTCCAAGTCCTTCCTGCACGCTAAAGGCGCCAATTATTTGCTCCTTTCTAGTCTGCGTTAATTCATTCATTCATTGCGTTGTTCATGAAAAGATGTTCGACTAAGTAAATGCATTAGCCCACTCAATTACAGTTCTGTTGGGTCGATCTCGGGCGTCACAGCTCTGCTTTGATACCCTACATGCATGTGTGATGGTACGATATCGGGCTCAACTACATTATTTTGAGCTAGTTATCGTTCATTATATATGTTTCCTTATTGCGCTCAACGTGCATGAGGTTATCTACCTACGCGTGCAAACTAACAGCCTTGAACAGCCGTGCATGTCATAGTCGCGGCAGCAACATTGGCCATTGCGGCTGGGTGTAGATGACATCTGGAGGAAGAATTTCAACATGGATCGCGAAAGGTTACTGGAATAATTCGCTCGTATTTTCACTCTGAAAATGAACACACCACGAAATTGAAACATCGAAAGTTAACCCCTTATTCACTTTTCGTTGTGCCAATGTGCACATTCTGCTATTACACTTACCTAAGTAAGTAAAATACAAGTGTTCTGGCATTCGAACCACAGGTCAGGTGTATCAGTCTACCGTTACTAACAACGTATGAATGGTACTTATGTTGTTTGCAAAATAGCCAGCAAATCGGGGAGCGTGAAAGGGGAAATAAAGCGCTAGAATTTGCAAGCGGCTTTGTACTCAAATTCCTCAAGTGGGGACGTCGTCCAAAACTCTGTGGTCAGCATAGTTTTGGGGGTCGACCCCTAAACCAACATGAGCGCAGCGACCGTGATGCTCCGCTAGTTAATAAAAAGCTTAAAGAATTTTTATAAAACGAGTCCACTGTTGCTTGGTGTGAGAGCTGTACAACGCCAGTGAGGAGTTCGCTTTGCTCAACTCGCGACTGGATGGATGATCATCGCCGGTGTTTGACATTCGGGGCTTCAACAGTTCGTGCGTACTTTAGCTCGTTAGGTTCGAACTACCTTTTAGGATACCCACTTATCGCTCTAGAAAAACCTCGAGGTTTTATCCTTCCACGAACCTCTCTCCCATCATACCGCATTCTACAGCTCAGGTTTTCGTACTTACCGCGCGGCCTCGCCGTTGGTTGGTCGAGGAGCTACGCTTGCTGCGTCCTCCTCCCGCCCATGAGCTCCATGCGCGCCATTCGAGTTCGCTCTCAATCCCCGAAGCTTCTTCCCCCCTTTACTCGCATCCTCTATAAACACCATGGGCGCTCCACCTCCGGCTGGCGAAGAGAAGGTCGTCGTTCTGCGTACGGTGGGCGGCGAGGTTGCCCCCGCTTCGGCTCTGGCCCCCAAGGTCGGTCCGCTCGGTCTCTCCCCCAAGAAGATCGGTGAGGACATCTGCAAGGCCACCAAGGACTGGAAGGGACTGAACGTGACGGTCAAGCTCACGATCGTCAACCGTCAGGCCACGGTCACGCTGATCCCCAGCGCCTCGTCGCTGCTGGTCAAGGAGCTCAAGGAGCCCCCGCGTGACCGCAAGAAGGTCAAGAACATCAAGCACGACGGCAACCTGTCCCTGGACCAGGTCATCGGCGTGGCCCGCGTCATGCGCGAGCGCTCGATGGCCCGCAACCTGGCCGGCACGGTCAAGGAGATCCTGGGCACGGCTGCGTCGCTCGGCTGCACGGTCAACGGCGAGGCCCCCACGGAGATCCAGCGCCTCATCACCGAGGGCGAGCTGGACATCCCGGAGAACTAAGCGGCTTCTGGATGACAGGTCACACCTTGCCGATGGATTTCTACGCGGACTTGTAGCGGTGTAACGATCGGCTTCTGCTGCTGATCGCCGACCAATACGACCCTGGGAACTTTTTTGCAGAGCGAAGACTGGATGGACTTGGACTTGTGCGTTCGATATCGTGGTGGTGGTGATTGTGGACTTGAGTGCAGGTCGCGGGACGGATCGGCGAGCTAGGTACGTGGAGGACTTGCATGTCTGTGTGTATATGTGCATGTGCTTGTGGAAGTGGGGATTTGTGTTGCCGATGATCGCCAATTCAACATACTTTAATATACTCTGATCCGGAATGAGGACAAAGTACAACAAGTTGAGGCAACACGAATCCCCCATTAGACTGTAGTCGATGTTTGCACTGTTTATGATGAGCTGCTAGCAAAAACGAACGATGAGGAAATACATGATGGCTTTTGATGTCTAAAGCGCAGTTGAATTCTTTTGTTTACCTTGCAAGTTTGAAGTGGGGGTGTACTATTGCTCATCTTCTGCATCAAAGACGCTCGGACGGTGTGTCTAGCCAAAGATGATGGAGCTTGCGCCGGCGCCGTGCTGCTTCTTCCGTGCCACCTGCGGGTGGAAGCTGTCGTTCGAGCGCTTGTTCGCGTCGCTCTCGGACTGAACGTTGCCGACGGTGCTCACAGACTGGATGTCGTCGATGCCCTGTGCCTGGAAGTTGGCGCGGATGGCCTCCACGTTTCCAGCGGTGATACCGATGTCGTCCTTCACCTCCTCGATCGTGTGCGAGCCGTCGGCGTGCTTCACGAGCACGCGGCGGCATGTAGTGTTGGCCGACCAGCCCTCGCCGCCACTGATGTGCCAGGCGTTGCGGATCACGAGCTCGAAGTAGTCGTCGTCGTCGATGGACGCGCTCACGTTGGCGTAGTAGCGCACGAACTCGCTCGGGTGCACCTTGCCGTCCTTCTCGCCGCCATCGAACGTGTCCAGGAACTCGCGCAGCACCTCGTCCTCGGTCTTGCGGCCCTGCAGCACATCGGGGTGCTCCTTGGCGCTGTACTTGACCTTGATGTCGTTGAGGTCCACGACGCCGCTTCCATCCGCGTCGAGGATCCTGAACGCCGCCAGAACCAGCTGCGTGCGGCGCTCGTTGAGCTCGCCACGCACAGCCAGCAGGAACTCGTCGAAGTCCACGCCTCCCGAGTTGTTCGTGTCGATGAAGTGGAACAGCTCCTCCACCTCCTTCTCGCTGAGCTCCAGCGCGTGCTCCTTGATGGCCTTGCTGAACTCGTCCAGACTCAGCGAGCGGTTGCCGTCGTCGTCGATGATCCGGAACTTGCGTCCCAGTCCGCGAATGCCCTTGGCTCCGTGCTCGTACAGCGAGTCCCTCAAGATCTCCAGCGACTGCAGCACCGTCTTGGATCCGCGCAGCAGCTTGGCGGGCAGGACATTGCCCCGACTGACCTCGAAGTGCTTCTTCACGGGCGTGCCAGACGCCGGGTGGGCAATGGGACCCACAAATCCGCCCAAGTTGATGAGCGGCACGACACCCTCGGCGAACTCGGCTCCCCATCCACCGCGGACCTTCACAGAGGCCACGCGCGGCTCACCGATGAACACAGCCTGCACCACGGGGCGCACGTTCTTGACGCTGATCTTGATGAGGCTCTGCGTCAACGCCGTGCTGAGCGCCGCGAACTGCGGGTCCTGCGTGCCCAGGAAGCCGAAGCAGATGACACCGTCGAAGCCTCCGAGCTCCGTGAGCTTGTTGGCCGCGTAGGGCAGCTGCTCCAGCGACGCCACCGTGAACGTCTCGGCGCTCACCGCCTCCGTCTGCAGCTTGGCCAGACAGTTCTGCACCGCCGCGTCCACGATCTCCGCGTCGCTGCTGGTCTTAAGCAGCGCCACGCGCACGGCTCCGGTGGGCTGAGGAGCAGCAGTCTGAGTCTGAGTCTGAGGCTGGGTCTGCACGGGAGCGGGAGGCGGCGACGCGCGTGGCGACTCCATCTTGGCGTCTGGCTGCTGCTCCGACTCCGTCTGCGCCTGCGGCTGGTTGAAGCGCTTGCGGCCCGTGGGGGCGGGCGCCGAGTCGTCTCCGAAGCTCCAGCTGGAGCCGCCGCCAGGAGGCGCGTGCACGCGCGTGGTCGGGCGCTTGAGCTCGCCCATGTCCGTGCTGGTGAGCGTCGACATGCTGCTCCAAGCTGTCGTGGCTGCGGATAAAGGGGGAATGGAGCGGATCCTTTCGCTATGCGAAAATGCGGGCGTGTGATTGGCGGAAAAGAATGAGATGCGTACACGACGCGCTTCAACACTTCAACACGGAGACGAACATACGGCAGGAGTACACGGCCTATAGCTTATTTTTTTTTGGCAGGAAACGAGTTGAGATACACGCGGCGAGAGGGGCTAATTTCTTTGATTTACTGTGGCTTGCTGTAAAACTTTGCCAACCGTGAGCACTATCGGGGCAGTGAACCGTACCATGGTAGGCGCCGTCCGCTAGCGCCCTGGTAAAGTGTCTGCAAGTTACTTGGATCCCTTGAATCCGCCGAGCTGCACCAGGGACACGACTCCCTCTGCGAACTCGGCGCCCCAGCCTCCCTTAATCTTGACCGACGCCACACGAGGCTCCCCCACAAAAACCGCACGCACCACGGGGCGCACGTTCTTGACGCTGATGTCGATGAAGCTCTGCGTCAACGCGGCGCTCAGGACCGGGAACTGCGGGTCCTGCGTGTTGAGGAAGCCGAAGCAGATGACGCCGTCGAAGCCCCCGAACTCCGTGAGCTTGTTGGCCGCGTACGGCAGCTGCTCCAGCGACGCGACCGTGAACGTCTCGGAGCTCACGGCTTGGCCCTCGAGCTTCTCGAAGCAGTTCTGCACCACGCGGTCCACCAGCTCCGCGTCGCTGCTGGTCTTGAGCAGCGCCACACGCACGGCGCCCTCCAGGGCCTTGGCGGCGGGTTGAGCGGGCGCTTGGGCGGCCTCGGGAGCAGCTGCGGGAGCTGCGCGCGGCGACTCCATCTTGGTGTCCTGCTGCTGCGGCTGGTTGAAGCGCTTGCGGCCCGTGGGAGCGGGCGCCGGGTCGTCGCCGAAGCTCCAGCTGGAGCCGCCGCCAGGAGGCGCGTGCACGCGCGTGGTCGGGCGCTTGAGCTCGCCCATGTCGGAGCTGGTGAGCGTCGACATGCTGCTGCGATGGGGTGGATGGATCGACCTGCACAATGGCGCCCGAGATTGAAAAGGCGGCAAGATCGGGGAGCGCCGATTGGTCGATACAAATCGCTGATTTCAACCAATTGGCCGACGATAGTCAAATCGTAAAGCTCACTTGCCTACAGCAGTGCAAGTGGTTGCAGCCTGCAGCGCCGCCATTGCTGCGTGTTTGCGGTCGTTGATCCCGTAATTGTCATTCAGTTCATGGATCTTCAGCCAACCGTGTCTTTGGTATTACCTGTGGTGAAACCACTGGATGTCAACGGGCCTGAGCTCCAACAACAAGTTCGACTCGGAATCTCCGTGGCTTCTCAACGACTGCAGGATGGCTGGCCAATGCTGTAAGTTCGTGGCTCAAAAGCTGGTTGGTATGTAGTTGTGTATTACAAATTGGCCAAAACACTGATCACTCGCATGCAGGACACTGGCGGATTCTAGCCGGCGTGTCCAACCCCACGCTTCTAAGATTCGATGGTCTAGGATGTTGAAGTGATCCGGCAGGCTGTTAAACGGTGCCGAGTGCATCCAACGCGGGTGGCTCACCCCAAGCAGCGTGATCTGCGCTGCGCAGCACTGGTATAACTGCAAGTTGCAGTCTGTTGCCACGTTCCTGCCACGGCCACCACCAGCACGATGAACGGCAACGTGTGACAGGCTGGTCCGACTTTTTGGTCCGAACTCCCCCAGCCCTACCCTTAATTCGTCCCCTAAAACGGCGCTCAATATCCAGCCCATACAAAGACACGCAGTACTCGTCGCGTTGTTTTAGGACTCGCACGCAATAAAACACAACACGTCACCTCTCGCCCACACCTCAAAGTCAGCACAAGTCTCCGATCACTTTGCCACTTGCGTCCTGCTCCGAGTCGTCCGTGCCGTGACCCGCCCCCGAAGCCGCATGGAGACCAGCTTGACCATCAGCAACGTCGAGCCGGAGCCGCTCGATCTGCCCGTCGACGCCAGCGACGCCACCGACGAACTCATGAAGCAGCGCACAGGCAAAGTCACCTCTTCGTCTACCTCCTCCAATCCCACCTCCTCCTCCTCCTCATTAGACGCCACGAAGCAGCAGGATAAAGACGCCGCCAAGCCCCTAATGGGCTCCTCGCCCACCACCAGGAGGCTGGCCTACGCGCTGGCGCTGGCCATGATCCTCGTCACGTTCTACAGCTTCCCCATGCACCACCACTTCCACGGCCGCAGCGGCAAGAACGCGCGCTACGTGTGGTGGTGCGGCTGGCTCACGGCCATCGCCACGGGGCTCGGCGCGCTGCCGTTCTACTGGATCCGCGACCTGGACAAGTTCTGGCTGGGCATCTGCAACGGCCTGGCCGCGGGCATGATGATCGCGGCCACGGGCTGCCTGTTCTACGAGGGCTGGTACCTGCCGCAGGCGGCTGACTACGCCGTGTCCGTGAGCTACCGACTGCTGCTGGGCGCGTTCCTGGGCGTGCTCTTCATCAAGTTCACCAAGGTCTTCCTCGAGGACTACGAGGACGTGTCGGTGTGCGGCCTCAAGGGTCTGGACGCGCGCAAGGCGCTGCTCATCATGGCCGTCATGACGCTGCACTCGGTCTCGGAGGGCATCGGCGTGGGCGTGTCGTTTGGCGGCGAGGGCGGCATCCGACGCGGCCACATCGTCACCATGACCATGGCCATCCACAACATCCCGGAGGGGGTGGCCATCAGTCTGTCGCTCGTGCCGCGCGGGCTCAGCGTCTTCTACGCCGTGCTGTGGTGCATCATGTCGAGCGCGCCGCAGCCTATCTTCGCGGTGCCGGCCTTCCTGTTCGTGGAGCAGTGGCTGCCGATCCTGCCGTGCGGCTTGGGCTTCGCCGGCGGCGCCATGGCCTACGTGGCCGTGCAGGAGCTGCTCCCGGAGTCGCTCGAGGACACCAAGTCCGTGCCCACGACAGTGTCGGCCACTGCGTTTGCCTTCATGGTGTTCCTGACCATCCAGATCGCGCTCAGCGGCTCCCTTTAAGTCGGAGCGAAGTTAAAAGCTGCGTGTGGGGATAGATGTACTACTTGTGTATTTTGAAGGCCATGACAAGCCGCCGCACGACGAGAGAGACGCAAGCGCAGCGAGCGAGTGAGCACGAAAGGGATTAACGACGCTACCAAATGCAAACCTCCAACTATTTAGCCAACACAACCATCAACTCATTGGCGTTGGCTCGAAACGAAACGGTCCTTCTGATCATGAGGCGTCGCAGGAAGCCAGATCCTGAAGTTCAGCTGTTCAGGACCTGAACAGCCACCTCTCCTCGAACGAAGTCCGTTGAGCACACAAGCCAAAAAGCCAAGAAAGCTCAAGCCAAGCAAATCCGAGCCATGAAGCTATCCACGTTGATCCTGGCGCTCGTGGCCGTCTCGCAGCTGGGCGGCAGCTCGGCCAGCGAGGCCTCCGACATCATGCGGCGCCAGCTGCGCGTGGGGAAGGCCGTGGCCTCGCTCTTCGAGAACCAGCACCAGTCGGCTCGCGACCTGCAGGAGCGCACCATGCAGGACGAAGACAAGGACGAGGACGTGCAGGCCGAGCCCACTAAGTTCCGCATGCGCCGCCTGCGCACCCCCAACTACGTGGAGATCATCGAGTGAGCAGGCGGACGCTGATGCGAGCCGCTTCCTACGCTTCCGAAGCAAAAGTAGTGTCGTACATGTGACTACCTCCAGAACAAGAACATGGCGTCCGTCTAAGCCGATCTATTCAGGGTTGGCAGGCGGCGCCTCATTGCCCATACTCACCATTGAGTTCTCTTCCTCTCTTCATACAGGATTCCTAAACGATATATGCCAACATCGCTTTGATCCACGTCACTCAAGGGATCACACGGGGCTCGCTCGCTGCCATAAGAACACCCCAACATTTTGTGTGCGTAAGTTGAGGAATGAAAGCCAGCAGTGGGGCTTGAAAGGAACCTACTCGACACACCTCTTAGAATGAAGCGTACGCACTGAATTCTCTCTTACAGGGAGCTTAGGAAAGCCTCAACGCTCTTAATTACTCCGTGCTGCTTCATCTCCATCGCAAACCAGGCCATGAGCTCCTGCTCCATTACGAGCGTCTCGTTTCGAGGGCACGCGCTCTCATCTGGCACTCGCTTGGGCTTCGGCGCTGTCCTTCCCCCAAGGCGAATTCGCTCTTTCAGCTGCGTTAAGCCGAGCCGCAGCTTCTGAGCGAACGGGACGACCTTCTCTCGGATGTGGAAGTTGAACATGACGAAGAGCAGGAAGCCGTAGCGACTGTCATACTCGACTTCGACCTCGACGGGGATTCCCGGGCCCAGCAGCCCTCCAGCCCCAGCGCTAAGCGGTGACACGGAATTCCCAGCCAAAGCCCCCGCTGCACCTGCCGCCTCTCGGTTCGCTCGAGCTCGGGACCGCCACTTAGTCGACAAGGCCACGAACACGTCCATGAGCTTGTGCTTCCACGACACCGAGACGCCCTTAGCGTACGCCACGCTTCGGCGCGGGTGCGCGCGCTCGTCGTCGCACGCCTGGAGCCCCAGGTCCTTCCACACGACGCGTCGAACCTCCGACGCTAGCTGGGACACGCTCTCCTGCTTGTCCAGCACGCGCGTGCCCAGGAACACCTCGAAGTTGTCGATGTCGATGGCCTTGTTCACTCTGATCCGCAGTGTTCGGCGTCCGTACTCGACCTCATGGCTGCGCTTCTTCTTGTACCGGATCAGCGCGTAGATGCATCCAGCCATCCAGATGATATTCAACACGAAGAACAGCAGGGGGATGTCGATGATCGTCTTGGCGAACGCTGCCTCCACCCACTCGGGCATCTCGGCGTTCAAGGTGCCACCGGGGATCCGGTCTAGCAGCGTGAAGGCGAAGCTGCCAGCGAGAAGCACTTGCACCAGTTCGAGCGACGAGCCGCACTGCTCCACAGTCAGCGACGAGTCGGCAAGCACCTTGGTGTTGCCCTCGACCGTCTTGAAGATGTCCTCGAGCTCGGACGTGTTGAGCACTTCGGCCATCTGCCGCAAGTTGACGATCTCGTACTTGGCGCCGTGCACGAGCTTCTCCAAGTCGCGCGCGCGGAGGAGAATGTCGTGGTGCTGCTTCTTCAGGTCGAGGTAGCTGAAGATGGACTCCTCCTCTTCGGTCGCGTTGGGCGATTTTTGCGGGATTTTCACGAACTCCAGCGATTCCAGCAGATAACCTAAAGTGTCAGTGAACTAGAAGAAGAAGAAGGTTAGTACTGTAAGAAACAACACAGCGATGATGCTTTACTCGCAGCACGTACGAGAATGAGGTCGTTGGTTGCCTCGTTGAGCTTCGCGCGGATCGTGACGAGGTGGTGGGGGTCTTCTTTAGCGCGGAAAATGAGCTCTCGGATGTGTTTCAGCAGCTCTTCCAGCACGAAGATGCGCGTGAAGAAGCTGCGCAGGAACATCTCGCGACACAGCAGCGAGAAGTACGAGATGAAGACCTTCTCGAAGCGCTTGGAGGCTGAGCCAGCGATCAGCATTCCGTCCCTCCCGACGATCAGCACGCTGTCCTCACCAATGTCGTAGGCGCAGTGGATGTCGCCCAGCACCTGCTTGAGCTCGTTCTCGAAGTCTCCTCGGTCCATATACTCCAGCCCGGGCATGAACGGGTCGATCTGGTCGGCCATGATCATGTTGAACTTGCCTCGATTCGCGATGTCCCCGAGGAAGACCATGTCCAGCAAGCTCGTCTGGTAGGACGACAGTAAGTCGTCCATGATCTCGGACGAGTCCTGGTGAATGTCAACCAGCAACCGCGACAGTAAATCCACGGAAATTCGGTCCGCTCGCTTGTCCAGGATGGCGTCGACTTTTATACCGTAGAAGATCGTGCCGTCGACGTTGAGGTGGATACCAAAGTTCTCGACCTGCACAATGCCGTCGTCTTCTGGAAAGTTAATCTCCGCCTCAAAGTTGATGTACCGTACTGGGTCGTAGTCAAGAATGCGGACCTCTGTGAGCCCCGGGGGCACTTCGAACTGCGTGTCGGTGGGGCGGTTGTCAATGAGCGACGTGAAGAGTCCCCCCTGGCATCGATCCATCGACCCAAGTCGCTCGTTCAGTGCAACGATCTGGTTCGACCCAAAGGGGATCCACTCCCCCACGAGACACACTGGATTCGCGAGTACTATCGCCTCGGACAGAGTATCACGGATGTTGGACTGGCCACTCGCAGCCTCCAACGCTCGGTGTGCATTCGACGACAACTGCTGGTACGCTTCAAGGCTGCGCACGCACTGCGGGACAAAGGGACTGGACACGTACGACACGTCCTCCGTCTCGGTCACGCCGGAATAGCGGAAGTACCCGATGGACTCCAAGATGAAGCGCCCTTCCTCGTTAAACTCGGGCTCTTCTTCTGCAGCGCCCTGGGTGATGGCTCCACTAGGGCCAGTGGTAAGGTGCTTGTCGCTGCCCTTGGTGAACGTCCACGCAGGACCACTCGCATCGGTGGAGCTGGCGTCTGGCGGGTCTTTGATGGGGATGTAGCGGATTTTAAGCAGCTCGCGACGGTACGGCTTGGGGGCGAAGATGAAGGCGTCGACGTTTGCCTTGAGCTCCTTGCTGACCTGGGACAGCAGCTGCAGCCCTCGGAACGAGACCTGGAACGCCGTGACCGAGTGATAGTCCTTGGTCGAGAGCTTGAGTCCGTTGATGAGGTTCGCCTCTCGCAGGTCGTCGATTGCTGACTTGCCGTCTTGCGTCGTGTTCATCCAGATACGCTTGGGTCGGCCTTCCTGCGCGATGACCATGGCTGCTGGCGCGTAGTCGAAGTTTAACGCCCCTGCAGCGATGCCCTCGTACATGAGCACGAGGAGAGGGATCTGTCGGATCCACGACTCCTTGTCCTCCTTCGTGCGGGCGCACACCGCGTACCTCGACAGCATGTAGAGCAGCATGACGTGGTCCGTGGGCCACGTCTCCCTCACAGTGCGTCCAGTGTCGTCCCCCTCCTTCGAAAGCTCCGGCAGCGTGAAGGTCAATTCGTCCGTGTCTCCTCCTCCACCTTCTCCATCGTTGGCAGGCTGCTGCGAAGTGGCTTCTCCGGAGCCCGTGACAGCGTGGCTGGACCCCGACGAACCGCTCAGTCGATACGAACGAGCCCCAACGCGAGAGTTACTGTTGTTCCTCGCCATAGTTTGGCGACGGTACGGCTGAGCGGGGGCAGTAGAGCCCTCGGGTTGTTTCGCTGCTGCTGCTGAGTTGGCTCCTTCGTCTCGGGGGGATTTCACTCGCGCTGACACAGTGCGGGGACTCTGATCGACCCCTGATTGCTGCGTTGGAGGGTGGGGGGACGGAGAAGAAGCCGTCCGCTTTATTTCGGCAGAAGTTACGGTACTGGACTTGGTATCACCTGAAAGGCTGGCGGTGGCCTGGGACGCTAGAGCTCCGCCATTCTCGGGCGACCCAACAGGAGCAGGCGGGCGGGAGGCCATCAGCTGCGTCCTCGGTGACACGGGGGGTTCTGGGAGTTTCGAGCCAGGGATTAGACGATACGCGGGGCTGGTGGATCCGCTCGTGGACGGGCTCTGCTGTCGGGGAGACTCCTCAATGATCTCGTCGAGGTGGGGGATCTGGCCTGGAAGAGGGTGATCTCTAGTTGCCATCCATCTGAGAAGATGGCAGCGGCGTGCGAGTCGGAGGCGGCTGGTTCGGGAATGCCTTAAGTAACTAGTGTTGAAGCGGCCGCGACCGGTCAAGGCGTTTCAGGATCACATTTTGGCAAAAAACTAGTTTTGTTTTGGTAGATCGGTTGACGAGTTTTGAGTCGAGTTTGAGTATTTGTAGAGTTCGATTCGCAAATTTCGGTGTGAGAGGTGTTGACCTTCTTCTACCTAACTACTTCGACGTAAGATTCTTCCAAGTTACTGGCTGAGGAACAATGACCGCTGGAAAAGCGACTGTGGTAACGAAGCTTCAATATGGTCTACGCGACCAATGCAAATTGTATCCCCGTAGTCATGACGCTAGTTTCTTTAGTATTATAATGCACTCAATCATCAATTCGTCCTGGCACTTCCTGGGCGTGTTCGATCATCTGGAAAGTGTTTTGCGGATTACATGTAGTATGAACGAAGATCAATGGCAATGATTCAAGTGGTGGGCGAGATCGTGGCAAGTTTGTTTCCAGGGATCGCACGGCAGATCTTGAGTGCGATAAATAACGTTGCGGGTTGGATGGTATGAACGTTGACCTGAAGAAGCTAGCAAAAGCAATCCACGCCGTGACTTCGGCGCGGCCCTGATTCTAATGAAGCTGCACCCACATACTTAAGTATCCAAGATGAGCAAGTTTGTCATTTAGCTGCTCCGGCCACGCAGCACCAGACAGCACTCTCCAGTTTGGGGTACTTTTCCTGGGAGATCTCTGAAGAAAAGCAATTAAGGCTTGATGTAGCGAGAGATAATTAATGGAAGGACTCATTGAGGAATCGTGATGCGTCCACAGCAATTTCTCATGTTAATCGGATTTGAGTGAGACCTTTCGACCCCTTCTCTAATGATGAAGTGGACAGCTTTGTTCATTCTGATAATAACTGGCCGAACAGAATGGCCGTCGCCATGATCAACGCGAAAACCACGGAGCTGGACTGGGACCAAGTGATGCAGACCCCGCGAGGCCAAGTTGTCCCTGTTTACAAAGCTACGGAGGCCGAGTGGGACGCTTATGTGTACAGCGAACTCCAAAAGCTCAACTCGACCAGCATGGAGTGGATCGACGGAGAAATCTTCATCGTGGAGCGGCCGTCGTATGAGCACGATCGGTTTGGCCTCACTTTCCGTTGGTTCATCACGCACGACCACCCTGTCATGCCGTTCCTCCTAGCTCATGCTAGCCCGTATGTGGGAGACCTTCCACGACACAGCCTGATGAAGGCTTTACCCTGGAGACCGACTTCCCGTCCAAGCTCCAAAGCCTGTGATTGCCCCGCTTACGACCGTCGAGTTCAATTCGCGCTTGCTGTTGGGTCTAGAACCTGATGCTGCGCTGTCCACTCAGTTCCCCGATGCGTTGCCCATCGACCTGTATAAGGTGCTGAAAGAAGCTGGGCACGACCTAGGCATCTAGATATTGCTGCAACTGTTCGGCAGTCCTGACTGCCGTCAACTACACGTAGTCTGCACTCTTTGGGTCGTTCTTACCCGGGCGGATATTTTTTTTTCCTTCCATACCTTCATGTAGAATGGTCAGCCCTGTACGTTTCTTAATCGTTGTTGGCTACAATTAGACTCGAACCTGGAATAAAGTTCTACACCTTTGCCAATCACTTGTGTCGAGCATTCGTAAGATAGTTTGACGACAAATCAAATGTAGCAATTTCATTGGTTAATATTGTATTATGTAGTCTCGAGTGTTGCTGCATCTCGGCTCGTAAATTGGACTGATTTTTATCTGTGTGCGTATTTTGCCCCCTTTACTAGAGGCAGCGCACTTGAAAAATGTCCCTTGAAATGTCCGGGCCTTTGATCCTGACGCCATGCACTAACCTCCTGCTAGAAGATTTAAATATACTTGCCAGGAATGAAATGTAAGGACATCATAGCACAGTTATCATGCGACCGTTTGTTCCCGTAGTGGAGCAATGTTTCTTCGCTTTACTGGTGAACGACTGTTGTCGTTCACCCCACCACGCCAACTCTCCTTTCTACAGTAAAGTACTAACACTACATAGAAGATGGAGATTCGGATAGAGCGCGCATACGCAAACCAGTCTACGCTGTAGCATCGACAAAAAGCATGGCTGCAGGCAGTGGCTTAGTTGCAGGAGATACCGAGTAACTCGCCGATGCCGAAGGTCGAGCCCAGCAGCGATATGGCGCGCGCCGAGCGCCCGCGCAGCAGTGTGGAGCTCCTCCGCACCTCAGCGTCGTAGGTACAATATCTAGGTGTTATCGCCGTTGCAGAGTACGTGGTTGCATTTTGTTGCTGGACTGTAATGATTAGGTAAGAGGGGGTTGAAAGATCTCGGGAAGCCCACTGGCAACACCGTTCCCTGGCTGCCACGCCTTCAAAACTACTATGATGTACGCTCAAGCATAAAATTTACTACATTAAAATGTACATGTAGTACCGTTACGAGCTATTTGTCCCTCTTAGTTTACGTTTGCCAACTTCGTCGTAACTCCGTGCCCTACAACGGCTGCACCTCTGAGTGGAACAGCTCCACGGACTGCATGCACGCGTTCGTGCAGTCATTATGCCGATATTTAAGCTTGCTGCCAGCGGCCAACTACAGGCACATCGCTTCGTGTGTGAACAGGAGGCTACTTACCCTACCGCACCATGCAACTGCATCGTTTCGGCGCTCAACGTTGCCACCGCGTCCGCGGCAACGATGCCGCTGTCGTGGAGAGCAGACCTGAACATTTTTGGCCAATTGTATGGCGCAAATTAGTGTCCGACAAACTGTCTTATGTTTTGACAGACAATATGCAATGTAGCCACTGGTATACAACAACCAAGATGTAGTCAAAACGCGTTGATCGGAAAACGTAAGACGCTTTGTCTTATGATAGGCATTCTGGGGCTAAGTATCGTCTTACGAAAGAGTATGAATCAGCACTAGGAGCATCTCCACCGGTCGTGAGTAAAACTAAATTTTACCCCTTTTCTGTCAATATTTAATCATAGTTTTAGTTTTGTACAGCTCCACCGGTTTGAGCAAATGCTGAGCAAATTGCTCCATTTTTTACGCAGATCAACGTTTTGCACAAGTTTGCCAACGGAGGAGGCTTTGAGTAAAAGGTTGAGTACATGTAAATGTCGACCGACCAGTAGTAGGGCCAAGTCAAGCGTTCTAAGCAGCGCAAGCGTCACAGACCGCAGTGTCGCCATTGCTACGTCATCCCTGGGTCTTCCTCAACGTGCTGCCGGGCCCTTTATAGGGCTATACAGCTGTGCGCCGTCGCCATGGCTGGCGCCGAACCAAGAGCTTTAACGCGCTTGCTGCAAGTCTCAATTGCCGGTGGAGCTGCGCACTGTCTTTAGCACGGTTGTGCCGTTGTAGGCACGGATCTTAGGGCAATTTGCTTTTAGTTTTACTCAGCACCGGTGGAGATGCCCTAATAAGTAGTGCGCATATGGAGGAATTAAGTAATTCAAGTAGATTGAAGCATTTTTGTAAAAGTCTAAGTAGG